ATATTACAACTGGTTTTTATTTTAATTATATATTTTTCATTACTTATAAAACTTGTTGAGTCCGGACATATCTTTAATCTCCAGCAAATTTTCTTCTCCATTTTCCTTCCATTTTCCCCTGGTATTTTCTGGGATCCAAATGGACCCATTATGTGCACTGATTGTTTCCTGCATGCACAGACTTACATGGCGGAAATATTCGACAAACCGTGGTTCCGAGAAAACTATGGAGCGGTACTCTTCAGTGGCAACAACGGCAATTTTATCCATAAGTGCACGCCATTCCGGTTTTGGAGAGACCGGCGGGTGCATACCATGCTCAAGAGTGGCAGCAGTGAAGCGCTGGAGTGTCCTAAAGCACAGGTGTTCCTCCCCGAATGATTGCTCAATCACCTCACCCTGAACTGTAACTCGGAGATTCCCGTGAACAGTGTCAGGTGGTTGAGACAAAATAGCAAGATGTGTGGGACCACCTCCCCTTCCAACTGTTCCTCCTCTTCCGTGGAACATAGTAAGCTTCACGCCAAACTGCTTCGCAACTTTCACTAGCTCCTCTTGAGCTTTGTACAGCTGCCAGGCCGCCGATAGCCGGCCGGCGTCTTTCCCCGAGTCCGAGTATCCGATCATCACTTCTTGCTTACCGTTAATCCGCTCTCTGTACCATTCAATTGAGAAAAGACGCGCAACAGCGGCTGGAGCGGCCTCTAGATCTGCTAATTTCTCAAAAAGTGGGACCACCCTTAAAGGATGCTTCACACGGCACTCGCGCTGTAGAAGTTCAACAGCAAGCACGTCAGACGGAGCAGTGGCCATGGAGATGATGTATGCTCCAAAGCAGTCCGGTGGGAGCTCTGCTATGACGTGTAATGTTTCCAGAACATCAGAGATCTCCTCTGTTTTCGGAAGATCGGGCCCGAAAAGAGGTCGCTTCCCGCTCAGTTCAGAGAGAAGCCACTCTTGTCTACGCTCTTCAGACCACTCTCGATATGAACCGATCTCTAAGTGTTTTGTAACAGCATCCAATACATCTGTATGCCTATCTGACTCTTGCCTGATGTCAAGCCTCACCAGCGAGAGCCCAAAGGTGGAAACTTGCCTTAGAAAATCCAACAGACTCCCATCTGCAATAGGTCGATCGCCACAAGCACACAGAGATCTGTAGCAGAGCTCTAGCGGTTCCAAGAACTACAGAATTTTATTAAATCTAATGAGCTTCACAGTTACAAGAGATACTCCATAAATAAATATCACAATGGCTATAGATGATAATCATGATATACTTGCAGTCGTGATTTACTAACATTTTGCATGAAATTTCAGAAATATATACAACAACAACAACATCCAAGACTTAATCCCAAGGAGATAAACAATGTTAAATTGGGCCTAAACGGATCCTCAAGGTTTATCTCACTCTTCTATAGAATTCTCAAGAAATGAGGTTTATCTCATGTTTAATTGCTTATATATTTTAGATCTACTAAACATCTTAGGTGAGCAACTTACACGTTTCTTACCCCAAAATGAATTGCACAAGGTAAACATATGGACTGAAACCGACCATAAACAGGCTACCAAACAGGCTAGCCAAAGCATGGGTGCCAAACAAATGATTTGTCACACTCTGATATCATAATAAAGAGGACCCGACTCACCCAAAAGAATCCTCAATGAGGCTTACATCATGTAGTATACAACTTATGTGGGCCACTTAAAAGCATTTCAACCGAAACCGGGCAGCACAACTTGCGTGTGGATAAATGGGCCAAACTGGCTCTAAACAAGGCTACTCAAGTACTAATACTAGAATGCTCATAAATTAGAAAAAGAAATATAATGGAAACCACAATAACCTGTTCAACATTAGTGAATGTTGCCTCCTCCGGAACATCAGAGTGTCCATGGGCTAATAATTGACGGGTGCGCTCACGAGTCTGGTAGAGTTTATCTCTGACATCACCAAGAATAACACGGTACGGTTCACTGGGTGGAACTTGCTTCCAAAATTCTGCATCACATATAAGTATGTTTAAAGGAAAAGAAATGAATTAAATTGTCTTCTGGACAATATTTTACAACAGTAATGCAAAATGTATATTCATATAATGGTTTTGATTATCTTCAAAACTAATTGACAAGTTACCTATGTAGTGTTTTGCATCTCTCTTTGATGATTGATAAAGCTCATATGCTCGAGCACGAAGTTCATCATTGCAGCGCCACATAGACATCTACCAGAGATTGCAACATGAGAACAAAAGAGTTACAATTGATGTAGCATAAGTAAGGGAAGTAAAAAAAATCAATGAACATTTAAAAAAACTAATCCCTCGAACCCTAAAAGGTCTGACATAGCGGCGTATAAACATTCATATGGTCTAACTATCTAAAGTAATTCTTTTTTATTCTCTGATGGGTATGAGATTTTTATCATATTTGAATTTTTAGTGTAGTTTTTCAATATGTAAATTTTAACAATTAATACAAACTTATTTGGGGAATATTAACTTCATCATCAGTCATACTTTTTAAACCCTAACGTACAAAACATTTTTGGGACAGAGGTAGTATTAAATAGTCATAGAGTGCCTCATACTATCGTATATAGGAACCACTATTTGGGCAGTATCCTCTATTGGCCTACACAAATATCCATAGTATATTTTGATGTACTAAATAGTCAGTACCTCAAACATGAGATCCTCTATTTGGGAATAGTACAAGTTTGTTGCCATCATTCTGGCTAGTAAGCAAACATCCCTTGTTACCTCAGGAGTCACCCTTGGGTTTCCTGCATGTAGTACACAAGCAGACAAGCAGTCAAGCATTAAACCCCATGTTAAAAGAGAAATAAGCATTATCTTCTCTTCTTTGTTTGATAACAAAATTACTGTTCTTTCTTTTATTTCAGGTTCTTATACCCCATATTAAAAGAGCAATTTAGACGAGAAGTTTAAATTTTATCAAAATAATGAAGGGCCAAAAGGCAACAAGCAAAAATACTTCAATGAGCTAAATGGATTGGGTAAAATAGGTATTTAAATTATGATCCAACCTAATAAACACTGTCTACACTAACCATGAGAAATAATAAAGAGGATATAATCATCAATTTCACATTAAATACCCCTGAACTTTGCATAATTCCGTTTTCACCCAGTAATGCTTTAAATCTATTTATAAGTCAAATTGGACCAAATCACCAAATGTGTAATTAAACATAAGAGATAAATAGATAATATATAGATTTAATCATCAAACTCAAATTTAATTATTATAATACCATACCATCACGATCTCCACCCATCCAAGAAGAAAACTGAATCAATGGGGCATTGTAAGGAACACGTTCATTAATCCCTATGTTTTTAAGGGCTGTGTCAACACGCCGCAAAAACTTTGGAACACCCTTCCAAATTGTTTCATGGAAGTAGCTCATCCCAGCTCTCATTTCATCCTGAGGGGTTGGAGGAGTCCTTCTAATCTCATCAGTTCGGAAAGCAGCTTGAATCTACACAAGAGTGGAACCCTTTGAGAGAAAGGCCAGTTATTCAGACCAAAGACTCACTGCTCAAATAATCATAGAATGGGCTGAAAACCATATATGAGTTCAAATTTTAGAAATAAAAGTAGGCTCATTGCTTCGGTTCAAAAAAAAAAAAGAGGGTAGCATAAAGGTAAACAAATTATAAGAATTTACATAGATGGGGAATGGCCTATTGGTATATAGTTTCACTACGCAGGGAGATTGTGCAATTGAATGACCATAGGTAAGTTCCCTTTAATTTGTAGAAACAGAATAGCTAAGTGTATTTATAAAATCAGTTCTGATTTCTGAATGAGAGTCCTGACTGCCTCTCCCAGAGATTGATTTAAGTAATGTATTTAAAAGTGTCAGATACACACGAGATTAAAGATATGAAATTTCAGTGGGGACTATACAACAACAACATCCAAGCCTTATCCCAAAAGATTTTGGTGTTGGCTAACATGAATCGATCCATGATATCAGAGCCAAAAGAGAAGAAAGATGAGAAAAATAGAAAGATAAATTTCAGTGGGGACTATGCTACCTAAAATTCCTTACAAGTCTGTTTGGAACTCAGAAAATGCCAAGGGAAGAAAATAAGTAGGAAAGTTGAGGGGAAATTTGGAAGGAAAGAGAATGTGGCAGGAAATAAAAAATTGTTTCAAACTCAATACATCAATTTTAGGTTTTTGTTTTGTGGAAACCCTAGTAGGAAACCCTAGTACTCTAAATATAGCTATAAATATAGCTTCTTGTATATCATTTTAATATCAAGTATATGAAATATAATAATACTTGTTCACATGGTATCAGAGCCGCTATGGCAATTGTTAGGGTAGTGTTATGATTTTTTTTTCCCGGCGTCATTTCCGGCCAGAATTCCGGCGTGAACAGTATCGCGACTTTCAAATGAGTGCTTCCGGTAGTGATATCAACCCACCGTTGTGCTCAAGGCTTCATCGCGACTTACCACAGGAGGAATCACCTGTGCCGCATCACCCACGCGCCGCCACGCGTCGCTGAAGTCCGCTCCTGGAGTTTTACATTTTTTGCAGATCTTTCTCCTTTTGCTTATCTGGCGTTGACACCTCCAACCACCAGAAGTTCCTGAGTTTCCGGCGACCAGAATGACATAAGTTACTTATGGCGTTGCCATAAGTAATATGGCAAATCAGTGGTTGGGTGTCGGTGGATTTACACGGTTAAAGTTGGGCCTGATGGGAAGATTGATCGTTTTAAAGCACGCCTTGTGGCGAAAGGGTATACTCAGATATATGGTTTGGATTACACTGACACTTTTTCTCTTGTAGGGAAGATTGCATCAGTTCGTTTGGTTTTATCCATGGCAGCAATGAGTCACTGGCCATTGTTCCAATTGGATATTAAAAATGCATTCCTTCACGGAGATCTGCACGAGGAGGTTTATATGGAACAACCACCTGGATTTGTTGCTCAGGGGGAGTCTGGTATGGTGTGCAGATTACGTCGTTCATTATATGGCTTGAAGCAATCTCCACGTGCATGGTTTGGGAGGTTTAGTGTCGTTGTCTGCAGCTTTGGCATGATTCGCAGTGATGTCGATCATTCTATATTCTATCGACATTCTGCTGGCAACAAATGTATTTATCTTGTTGTGTATGTTGATGACATTGTCATTGCAGGTAACGATGATCAAGGAATTGCGCTCCTCAAGCAACATCTCTTTAGCAAATTTCAAACAAAAGACTTGGGAAAGTTGAGATACTTCCTTGGCATTGAGGTCGCACAATCTCAAAATGGAATTGCTCTCTCACAAAGAAAGTATGCCTTGGATATTCTTGAGGAAACAGGTTTGCTAGATTGCAGGTCAGTGAATACACCAATGGATCCGAACGTTAAACTCTTATCAGAACAGGGAGATCTTTTGCCCAACAAGGAAAAATATAGAAGACTCATCGGCAAATTAAATCATCTTACCATCACGAGACCAGATATTTCATTTGCGGTAAGTGTTCTCAGTCAGTTTCTTGATAAGCCATGTATTGGACATTGGGATGCAGCTATCCGAGTTTTGAGATACATCAAGAAAACTCCGGGGCAAGGATTGTTGTTTGAAGATCGAGGCCACCATGATATTGTGGGATACTGTGATGCAGACTGGGCCGGATGTCCGATGGATAGACGTTCCACTTCGGGATATTGTATCTTGATTGGTGGAAATTTAATTTCATGGAAAAGTAAGAAACAAGATGTGGTTGCCAGATCTAGTGCTGAAGCAGAATATCGTGCAATGGCCCTTGCTACATGTGAAATCTTATGGTTGAAGCATCTCCTCCAAGAGTTAAAATATGGAAACACCAGTGTTATCAAAAGCGCTCGCTTCTGCACTTAAGCGCACAAAGCGCAGCGAGGTAGACCCCTAGCGCCTGAGTAAGGTAGAAGCGCACAACCCTGGGCAAGGCGCAGCATAAGCGCTAGAAGCGCATGAAGCGCGGAAGCGCTATAGGCGCGCGCCTGCGTCGCCTGAAACGGAAAAGGCTGACAGCCCTTTTTTAGTTTAAAACTTTGAAAAAAAACCCATATCTTAATAGTCCTCAGCCCATGAAAAAATAGGGTAAAGTAAGTTTAACCTACGTAAAACTAAGCCTGTAAGTACTTAAAAACGTAAACTTGCGCAAGACACTACAAAGCTTAACCGCTAGCCATCCTCTTCACTCTCCTCGCTTTCCTCACTCCGTCACTCTATACTCAAGCTGCTTTACACGACTACACCAGCCGGTTCTTTCAGCTTCCTTCATCATCTCAAGCATACGCAGCTCTCCATCGTAGCAGTAAACAAGGTATATCTTCTTTTTCATGCAGTCTCATGCCTTTTCAATTACCTTCATTTACTGTCTTCTTTATCCATAGACTCATAGTACTCTGCTTTGTGATTTTATTAGTATATTAGTATGTATATAATACTCATAGTATTCTGCTTTTTTATTTTTTAGTATATTACTATGTATATAATACTCATACTGTCATAGTACTCTGCTTTGTAATATACATATATAGTACTCTACATTGTATATAATACTAATATACATACTAAAGTTATATGTTCTTATATGTTCTTAACTTTATATATCAAACTGATTCCATAAAGTTTATGTATCAGTTAACCAACTGATTATATATGTACTAAAGATATATATCTTAACTTTATATGTACTAAAGATATATGTACATATTAAAGTTATATGTGCTAATGTACTAAAGAGTAAAGATGTATGTTCTTAACTTTATATATCAAACTGATTCCATATAGTAACTTTAAGTATCAATTAACAAATTGATTCCATTATATATGTACTAAAGATATATGTACTGATTCCATCTTTGATCTTTTCTAGGATATGGAAGGTGGAACAAGTTCTGTGGGTGGTGCTGAAAGTGAAAACTCTACAAAAAATGACCCAACTTGGAAACACAACTACTTAGTTAACAAAAAAGATCCTAAATCAGTTACCTGCATTTACTGTGGAAAAGTAACTAACGGAGGGATTTACCGAGCAAAGCTTCATCAAATAGGAGGGGATAGAAATGCGAAGGCTTGCTTGAAATGTCCAGAAGATGTGAAAAAGATGCTTAGGGAATATATGCAATCCAAAAAGGATGCCAAGATCAATTATGATAAACTGCCAGAACATCCGGATTTTGTAGCTCTTCAGGCTGCGAACGCAATTGGAGCGTGTTTGAACAAGTAAGTTTTGAATTGACAACTTGTAGGAATCAAATATTAAACATTTAAAAGAAGTAATGTATATTTCTTTATGTTCTAGATTCACACAAAGAGAAGGAACAGGCTAGGAATGAAGAAGCTAAATGACTTAGTATTTGTGAAGTACAATGCAACTTTAAAAGCTCGCTTTGACTCTAAAGATATCACAGATCCAATTGCTTTAGATAACATTGATGATTGCAATGAGTGGTTGGCTGGAAATGTGAATGCAAGTGCAGCAGATGACTCGGTTTTCAGTGATGAAGAAGGTGATGGCTTGACGTGGGGTGCTGTGAGTAGGGCAACGGGAGCAGAAGAACCAATAAGATATACTAGAAAGCACTCCAAAAATGCGAGTTCAAGTACTACTCGTAGGCTTGTGGATGAGGAAAGTGAGGGAGAAATTGAAGAGGATGTTGGGGAATACAAATCAGATAATGGAGAAGAAACTGACTCCTCTTTTAATGACGAATAGTCCTTCACAAGTTTAATGAGGGGAAATAGGCTCGGATTTCAGTGTCTTTTAGTTTTACTTTTAGTATTAAAGCCATGAATTCTAAATTTAGACTTCTGTTTTTGTGAATCATGACTTTATTTTGGTGAATCCTAGCTTTTTTGATGCATTTGGTTCAATATGATGTTACATACATCATATTTGGTATTTATAGAATAGTATATGTGACTTTATATAAGTAATGCGCTTCACCCGAGTCAGGCGAGCACTTTTTTGCGCTTTGCGCCTCAAGCGTCGGAAGACTCCTAGCGCTTCAGGTGCGCCTTACGCCTTTGACAACCTTGGGAAACACAAAACCGGTTCAACTCATGTGTGATAATCAAGCTGCAATGCACATCGCATCAAATCCGGTATATCATGAGAGGACAAAACATATTGAAGTTGATTGTCATTTTATCCGAGAGAAGATCGTGAGTGGACATATCATCACAAAATATGTCAACACAACTGAACAACTTGCAGATATTTTAACTAAGTCTCTTAGAAGTCCTAGAGTGGGGTATATTTGTAACAAGCTTGGTACATATGATTTATATGCTCCAGCTTGAGGGGGAGTGTGGAAACCCTAGTAGTATTGGGCTTAGCCCATTTGTATATCTTGTATAGGAAACCCTAGTACTCTAAATATAGCTATAAATATAGCTTCTTGTATATCATTTTAATATCAAGTATATGAAATATAATAATACTTGTTCACATGTTTAAACTCATTTTATTAGATATTGCTAAAACAAAATGACTAATAAATCTATATATGTAAAGACTTAATTTTATTTGACCAACTTTCAACTTAGCTCATATTATCCATGGTACTTTAAAAGAAAATTCTAAGTACTTTTTTTCTTTCTCTAACATTTTCCAAGTTCCAAACAGACCCTATGATAATTGGAAAAGAAAATATCCAAATACTGACTCATAAACTTCAGAGACTGGCTAGATTTCAAATTTTGGCATTTGAATGTTAGTGCCTTAGTGGCACGCCTGTTTCTCGAAATACTCCTAGAGAGGAAATTTAATTGAGCTGTGGAAAGGGAAGCATAATTGAAAGAAAAAATTTACTGAAGCGAAATATTTACCTCCCTTTGCAAAGCCTCATCAAGCTCCTGTTTATCATCAGGTGTAATGTCTTTGGCGTACAACTGAGCCAAACAATTCCGGATCCTAAAAGCACAGACTTAAATAAGAGAAGTAAAAAAAATGAAACCATGACAAAGAGGAACAAGAAATAAATAAAACCTTGCATGCTTTTGAAGCAACGATCTCCTGATAGATTGTGTAGGGTGAGCCGTTAAAACAAGATCCACAGTTTGGTTCTTCAATGCATCAAACACTTCTTGGGGAGACTTCTTCATGTCCACTACAAGCCTTTTGAGAGTTTCTTCAATGTCAGATTCAGTTATTGCATTGTTCTCGTCAACAAAATCACCCTTTTTTAGTTTCTGCCTGCGGCGATATGCAATCTGTACTTCCTCAGCCAAGTTAGCCAAGTTAAGCATGTGGGAAAAAGATTTTGCAATCACTATGGAATCCCCAGGATCTAGACTTGTCAACACATTCCCTAGCTCCTCAAGCTTCTTTGGGTCATGCCTGCCTTCATACTCCGCAGACAGTTCATAACACTCTTGGACCTGGGATGAGAGATTGAAAAAGAAAAAAACTTTAGATCTAAAATAGTCATCTGAGTATCTGATATGAGAATGATTTTCAAAATCCATAGCTTAATACAGGCTACTGTTCATTTGAAATGAAACTGGGAAAAGGACGCATCTTTATCATCAAATATCAAGTCCTTTAACACAAGAAGCATTCAGGAACCATCTAGTATTACAGCTACTGTCCAATGGATATCAAGCTAAGTAAAAATCCAACATTTTCCATCAAACATCAAAGGCAAGCTTCACTAGATTTAAACCCATTTGCACGATTCAGAAATCCGAAAAAGAATTACATGTTCTTGACATATGAGACCTACTATTGTTATATAAAGCAAAACAGAAAACTCGTTGTCTTAGTTAAAGATCATAAATTGGAAACGTTCAGCAGCAAGATTGACAATGCATTGCCTTGATGAGGATTGAAAGTGTAGCTACAGAATCATAGCCACAATGAAGAAATTATTACCGTTTCCCTGAGATTCTCTCCGTGCAGGTCCTGAAGAATATCAAGAAACCGATCCAGAAGCAAAGCATCATACTCAACAAGCTTGTCATCATCA